ACTTTTATGGAATCAAAACTGTGTTTAATTTATATGGCTGACAAAATCTGCAGAGCACCACAGTCAATGTATTTTTGTACAGTAATGGAAGCATGCCTTCCTATTTTATTTTCCTGTATTTCTATAAAATTGTGCGATTTTTAAATAAGTTTTAAAAAAAATAAACTTTTCTCTGTGGCTTCAAGTTCATTGCTTAGCTCGACATTGGCACAGATTATTTCTGCTATTGGTGATGCATTTCTTATTATTTGAAGTTAATTTCTTGTATTTGTTACTGAATTAGGCCAAGGAAGCAGACGAAAGCTTTCTTTGTATTGCACCTTCCCACAAGTGAGGCATAGATTTTGTTGGAGGTAACCATGACAGTTCTGCATTCAGTTTTGGTCTCCACAATGTAAAAAAGATGTTGAGACTCTAGAAAGAGAGTTGAAAATTGAATCCCACCACTGATACAGAAGGTCAAATTTGTGTTGAAAACCCCCCAAGCAAAGCAGCTCCAGACAAGGTTGGAAGAATGATCAGTATGCCAAGATGCCTGCAGAGATATAGCAAGAGTTGCCAGATTGAGTTGGAAGGAGACCAAGATATTCCTTATAGCAGGGTTTCTAAACCTTGGCAAGTTTAAGATGTGTGGGCTTCAATTCCTAGAATTAACTAGTCAGTATGCTGGCCATGGAATTCTAGGAGAATAGACATCTTAAAACTTGCTAAGGTTGAAAAACAATGCCCTGCAGCATTGTTATTTATAACAGTAATATGTATTATTATGCCTTGTCTTGTGAGTTTCTAGACACAAGCCCTTAAACTGCAGAATATAGAATTCTGACCTCAAACATAAAGAACTATAATTCCCACCTTTCCGTATGTGTTAGGGGATACGTATATAAATGTGTCACAATGTAAATCTGTTCATACATGCATCCATCATAAGGTAAAGGTTCCCCTCGCACATACATGCTAGTCGTTCCCGACTCTAGGGGGCAGTGCTCATCTCCATTTCAAAGCTGAAGAGCCAGTGCTGTCCGAAGATGTCTCTGTGGTCATGTAGCCGGCATGATTAAATGGCGAAGGCACACAGAATGCTGTTACCTTTCCTCCGGTGGTCCCTATTTTTTTTATTTGCATTTTTTACGTGCTTTCGAACTGCTAGGTTGGCAGAAGCTGGGAGAAGTAACGGGAGCTCACTCCATTACGCGGCACTAGGGATTTGAACCGCTGAACTGCCGACCTTTCTGATTGACAAGCTCAGGGTCTTAGCCACTGAGCCACCGCATCACTGTATCCATTATAATCACTTTCAAATCTTCCATTGTTTTAATCCGAGTTACTTGCCTTGCAATTTGAGTTTCTTTTTCAATTATTAGAAATGATTTTACATGCCACTGTAAATACCTCAATGATCAAATGTTACTGCATATGAAAAAAAATAATGCTTCTCAGGGTTATGATTTATGTAAACAACCAAAACACAGATTAAAACCTCTAGAAAAGCTATTAAAAAGTTCAGGAAGAGATATTTAAAAAGAAAAAAAAACAGAAGCAGAGTCTCCAATATGCAGCAATGTGAAAGAGCTGGAAGACTGACTTCTTTGCAAACTACCGTTGAGTCAGCATGATTTGTATTTAAAATGAAAAAGAGGAAAAAACTCAATCGGTCAGCACTTTTACTAAGCAATCATTTCCACTCAAGAATTAAATTATTAAAAGACCTTTGCCAGATATCAAGACGGTATATCTGAATGCTTCCCAGACCTGGATAAATAACCCAAACTTGGATAAAAGTGGTTTTTTTTTTTCTTTGAGTAACGATCGATTATCAGATCACAACAGGAATATTTAAATTGATTTAAAATGTTTGACCAACATTGAATCAAAAGGACATTCTGATAAGTGGTTTCGAGCAATGAAAAGAAGTTTGGGAAGCACAGGTGTGCTTTGTCACAAATCTGTTTCTTCTCATATGTCGTTGTTGGGTTGAGTTGAGTTGAGTTTATTGGTCTTGTATGCCG